GATGTGGCTGTTACTTAAAGTTATGTTGTGTAGCCAGACATGGTGGCACACACCTGTAATCCCAGCACTGGAGAGGCCAAGGAAGGAAGATTGCTGTGAGTTTGAGGTCAGCATGGGTTACATAGTGAGTTGAAGGTTAACATGAACTACATAGTGAAACCCTGTCTCAGAACAAACAACTTACACTGCAATTCAGTAACCTGCAGTTACTGGCTGCAGATCCTTGGCTACATTGGCCCTGTGTTTGTAGGAAATGGAAAATCTTCTAGGGCAGTCACATACAGGCCCTGTTTCTCTAAACGGGACCTGAGATAACAATTTTATAGATTGTTATTTGCTTTCACTATGCACCTCAGTATTGTTTAAGTGTGGACACATCATAAATTACATAACCTCAGATGTTCCTTTATTCAGGAGTTCTCAACTTCTCTGATGAATTTTTAACTCAGGCCCAAAGTGAAATGACCAAAAAATCTCCAGAGATCACAGCACTGACTTTAGCAGGACCTGGTAAGTGTAAGAGTCAGTTCTCTGGCCCTAAGGTAATGCAGGGCAGTGAGAGCGGATCCAACGTATGCACATGGTTCCTAGAGCACCACGGTCATCAAGGTGAATCAGAAGGACCAGCACTGTCCTGGAGTGCATTAGGTTGGAAAATGCCTTAGGCACTGCAGCTCAGCAGACAGGAGGAGCCTGGGCTCACTGGCCCCATGTCTACCCATCTCATGGCCTTGCAGAGTGTCCCCAGAGAGGGGGCCAGCTCAGTTACATCATGGAAACTGGCTCAGATGCAATCCTTTACTTAATAGACACCAATAATTGTTTGTGATCAAGCAGCTCATTATATATTTTCTTTTTTCTTTTTTTGCGGAACTGGGGATTGAACTCAGGGCCTTGCACCTGCCAGGTAAGCGCTTATTCCACTGAGCCATCTCTCCGGCCCCTATATATTTTCTTAACCACACTGCTCTTTTATTCAATGGAACATTCCCCTTTTAGTGCAGTGTTGAATCAAACACTGAAAAAAAGCCCAGAGAAATTTCTGTAGATAAACCAGTGAAGAGGACCCAGGGAGATAGCTCAGGAGAATAAGCACTTGCCTGGCAAGCACAGGGTCCTAAATTCAATCCCCGGTACCAAAAAAGAAGAAGAAGAAGAAGAAGAAAAAAAAAAAAAAAACAGTGAAGAGAACGTGCATTACATATCATTAACATAATCACTCCATGAAGGGTGAAGGGTAGGGAGGAGAAAGAGGAACAAGGGGCTCAAAGCCCTTGACACTGCAAAACATTCAGACACTTGGGATTAAGATAAAATGTAAAGAAGGCCTTCCAGGAAGGAGAGGAACAAATGGAATCTGGCACCTTAGGTGGTCAGAACACAGAAACGACTCTAAGCCGGCAGGTCCAAGGTGGCTTGGGCTGTACCACCTACCGCTGGCAGGAGTGCCGGATGGATACAGGTGCTGGGCCTGGCGGTTAACCAGCCGTAGGCAACTTCTACAAGAGAGACAAAAACAAACCCTATACATTAAAAAGATGAACATCTCTGGGGGTGGCTATGGTCCCTGGAAAAACTTAGAACCAAAGGACAACACCTGCCCGAGTAGACTGACATTAAGGTTGAAGCCTATGCCTAAAACCATCTGCTCCTCTCTCCTTGGCAGGGGAGAGGGAATGGAGTGAAGGGAAAGGATTCTATTTGCAGCAGACCAAGGAAAGCACCTCCTTGGATGGAGTCTGAAGAAAGCAAGAGATAAGAAAGTAAAAAAGCGAAAAGAAAAAAATTAATAATTTCATGATATGGAGCCAGCGTGTTCCGATTTTCCATGTCCACAAAAATAATTCAGGCTCCTTTGCCAAACCATCCTGTCCACCAGGGTCGCTGCTGAGGCTGTCTGCCTGGAAGGGTCACCAAGGGCATGGAAAGTCTTCATTCTCATGGCTGGTCCATTGCTGCCAAGGGGAGGGATCTTTGCTGCCATGGCAAGGGGGTACCGGACGCCATAGTGCTGCTGGGCGGAGGGGGTGGTGGACGCTGCTGCTGCTGCCATGGTGGAAGAGGACGGGGTGGGGGGGGCTGCCCACTGGGAGGTGGTGGCAGCAGCAGCGGCAGCATCATACCTTTTCCTTGATGCAAGTGATAAAACCCAGAGCCCACAGGCATACTTCCCAGGCACTGATCTCGATGGAAGGAAAGAGCAGGGGTCCATTGGGGGAGGGCCATGGTGCCCAGGGGCATGGGGGTTCTGGTTCACTGGTGGTGGTGGTGGCTGCATCCAAGGGGGAGGGGGTTCATTTGGGTTGTGCTGCATGGGATGTCCACCATGCCCACCTGTCAGGCTGGGTAATGGGTGTGGGAAGCTGTGGGGACCACCTCTGCGCCCACCAGGACCACCTCCATGCATGCTGTGGTAGGGCCGACTCTCTGAAGGGCCAGAGTTCATCTAGAGTAGGTGGTTCTGGGTGGTGGACATGAGAGATGGTGGAGGTGGGTTGCTGGGAGGAGTAGCAAGCTGAGGTGCACTAGCCAGGGGGTGGTGGTAGGGCCAGAGGTGGACCCCACAGATGCTGGGACAGGGGCTTCACCCAGTTCAGCCATAAGGGACACATACTCTATCCATCTGTGCTTTATCCTGAGCTGACTGGGGGTCACCAGATCTCTGGAATTTGCAATCTGAAGCAATGAGTCCAGCCCCTCCACACTTGGTACACACTGTAGTGTTTGTAATGCTGCAGGTGTCTGAGTTCTGCCAGGGTCTCAAGATCCTGTTATCATCCTCCCGGAGGATGCCATTCAAGCGAGCCAACTCTCGCAGCTGCATCTTCTGTAGATCATTCTAGTCCTCTAGGGTCTCAATACACTACTTTAGGATGTTTCTGATCTGTTCCAATGCCTTTTTGACATTCTCCATTATACTGACAGTGACTAGAGCATGAAGTGGCTCATCTCCTGCTGGCGACATCTGACCATCTTGCATCCAACCTTTCCTCCTTTCACAGATCCTTTCCCCCAGGTCGTGAGTTTGGCATTGCACTCCTTCTCCAAGTTCTTCAGGGTACTCGCTCTGGGTCCAATTAGAAGCCCTATGAAGTTGATTTCCGGATATTGGGGAATCATTACTTTATTGCTCACACGTGTTGCCTGAGGTTTGTAATCTGCAGGTGGTTTGAAATCAGGGTTAAGGGCAACCATCTCTGTGATGAGGTTGTGCCGCTCCTCTTCAAGCTTCTTGCAGGTACAGAACTCCCAAGTGTTAAGCCACTTCACCTTGCTATTGTAGATGGGCTCAGGGGAAGGGGACCTGTCCTCAGGTTTAGGGGGGATGCCCAGGTATCCTGTGTGGTCTGAGTCAGGTGTTCTATCTGCAGTTGCACTACATAAGCTCTTTCTTGTTCCCAAGTAAGTCTAGGTGAGATAACTGTAGGCATTCCTGGAATCACTGTCTTCTATTCCATTGTATCTTGGTTCCAGAGACTCCTCTTCCGTTTTTTACTTGGGGAGTCCAGCAGCATGGTGTTCATTTGCTCCGGTCACCATGGCATCCCCAGGGACCAGCGCTGGGGTTGGACCGTGCTGCCATGGAGCTCAGAAACCCAGTCTTCTCACTAGCAGCTCATTATATTTTAAGATGCAGTTTGGCCATTACACTTAATTTAAGCATCTTGAAATTAAGTTTTCTGGGTAATATATGAAGGATTTTTTTTTTTTAACAACTCAGTGAGTTCATTTGACTTTGCCTTCTCAAGTGTTTGAAAGTATAACATGTTTTAATGGAAATGGCAAATTTGCCAGTGTCCTAAGCTAGGCTCCTTTAAATCTGCTATAATCATTTCTTTGGGCTGAATATTCTTCTTTGCTCATATGTTTCTAACCTACAATCACAGTGAAGGCCAGGATACAATTTAAAAGTGTTACAGTTTGAAATAAGAATATGAAATTTAATGTGTGGCTCCAGCTCAGGGCAAATTTTTCCAGAAAACAGATGCCCCTCAATAACCTCACTGAGAAGCCCCATCATTACTGTGACTCTTCAAGTTGGAACAAAATGCACCCAAAGTTTCCTCTGACCTAGGACTTCTGGAGAAAGACTTTAAGGCAGCAGCCTCTTAGCCTCTTAATTATGGTGTGTGTAAGAACTCAGTGAACAAAGCACCCTTTCTCTAATAAGAGAGGCACCAATCACTTGCTTTCCTTGGGGCTGCTTCTCCACCCCCACAACTGAACCACCAGGAAAATAAAAACACTCTCATCCTTGACTCAGAAATTTTCCCTGAGCAACAGGATAGATGCCACCCAGGAAGCAGTGTGCAGTAGGTACTGGATTGACAAGCAAAAGGGCAAAGTCCCATACAACCACTTTCATGGGAAGAAAATTAAGTACAGGTAGAGATAACCTGGGCTTTCCACACCACTTGCACCCTCAACTCAGTGTAACTGCAAGGCATCACTATTTTTCAAGCCCCAGATTCCTCCATAATAAAATAATGGATCTAATCACCCCCCCACACACACTTTAGGAGTCTGATAAGAGGATACGTCAGTGGTGACAGCAACTTAGGATACCTCCAATATTAATAGATAATATAGAAGCCTACATAATGTTTAGTTATACACCATTCACAAATCTCTTAAAATCAGCAAAAGAGGTACAGAATGTATACATCTAGAGCAGAATAGGTAGGGGCCACACTTTAACAGAGAAGGGGCTTCACTTAGAATGTGTTAAAGTATTTCATTCCACTTCTGATTGTCTACCCTTATCAATAAGCAAAGGGCAATTCCCTTTCTACCTTTCAGAGTTATCATCAAGATTAAAATCAGAACAGAATAGAAGTAAAGGCCCAGGATTAACAAAGTAAAGAGAAAGTGTGTGACAAACTATAAAAGTCTGAGTTACAAAGAAAGCATCATTGTAATTCAGAGGGCTGCTTCAACTCCAATACCCATGCCAAAGCAAGATAAGATGGTGAGAAGGCCAACAGCTGAAGCCCACGTACCTAATGGTGGTGCCTTGCAAACGGTCTATCTTCTTATTGAGTTCAGCAATGATGCTGTGGAGTTCTGTGATGCGTTCCTCATACCGAAGTGTTGTTCGCTCCTGGACATCCTCATGCTCTCTCATGAGATGGGACTGCTCACACTGGGGTCAAGAGAACAGGACAGAAGTGAAGATGAGTTAACATACCTTTTTCTTAAGGATCCTACATTTTATGGCTTCAAACTGTAGTACACTCTACACTAACTATGCTCAAAATAGAACACACTCCTGCTCACTGGCCAGCAATCCAATGAGATGTATCAACAGGTTAACTTGGGATGTACATGCAGGACATCTGAGGTCGTTTCTAGCACTCGTTCTCTTTTGGAAACAGTCCCTCAGCCCCTGCACACAGTGTCTAGGAGTAGCCTGCTTTCCTTTAGCCAAGAAGTAGGCAAGAGGCCTGAGCTGCATCCCTCACATATCTTTGTTGCAAATTTGCATCTTGAGTAAATATGAACCTAAGGCCATATGGTATCAATTACTCAACAGCCTTAAAGGACTGTCCCTTAGTTCCTACTGCTTACATGTTACTTTATGGCTGTCTAGTTTCTCTTTTACTAATTCACACCTTCCTTGTTAAAGTCTGCCAGCTATTTTTTTTTTTTTTTTCAACCAAATAACCAAGTGACATGACCGCATGTCTTATCTGGCTGGATTATATGTGAATTTAGTGCTTTCCAATATCCTTTCTTCCCAGACCATAAACTCCCAAAGCCAATACTAAGTGTTTTTGGTATTTAAATCCTAGCCTCTGGCATATGGCCTGGTTCACTGTGGGTGATATAGAAGGCCTATGCAATGAATAAACTGCAATGTATTACACTGTCTTTCTTTCTCTTCTTTTTTTTGGCAGAACCGGGGATTGAACTCAGGCCCTTGTGCTTGCCAGGGAAGTGCGTATTCTACTGAGCCATCTCCTTTGTTACACTGTAATGAAGGCTACTTTGCAGAAACAATGACAGAGACTGAGGAGCTACCTTTGCTCAGTTTTTGATGGTCTTAGAGGCAACAGATGTTATAAAATCATTTTTGTAGACAGTTTAAACCCCAAGGAACCTGTTCTCTTCTTTCATTTGTCTCCACCTTCCTAATCCCCCAATCACTTTGGAGTTAATCTCATTTACATAACAATAAATAGCTCCTCAGGGACGGAGCAAGTGCTCTAGCTTGTCTCCTTGTCTATCACCCTCAGCCTAATTAATTTCCTGTCCACTTGAGGAAGTTTAATTTCATTCCCAACAAAGTTTTTCTAATGTCAAGAGCCATATGCATTTGTCAACTCTGTATTTTCAGGTCAGATAGCAGGGAAAGAGTAAGACTTTTCACCCACTACTGTAACCTCTAATGTCCTCCTCCAACACTAGATCTGCCAAATTTCCAAAGATGTAATTCAGGGAAGAAACAGTAAGTTTTCACAGATAAGCAAAATGCTATACCCAGCCTAACTCAACACAGAAACTGAAGTACTCAACAAAGACACATGACAGACAATAGTATAAATCATGGCAGGAACTATATCTATGAATATGGCCCTTAAAAACTATGTGACCAATATAATGTAATTTCTTAGGAATTAGTCAGGGCTCCAGAACTAAGTCCAGAGGGAACAAGGTTACAGACCTCTGTAAATAGGTACTTTCAGAAAAATATTATGGTGAACTACTCTTTCTAGTGACAATCTGAAACTCAAGTAATCCCCACTCAAGGTCAAGTACATGGGAAATAAGTAGGGTGAGGATGAGCATGGAGTAAAAGCCATCTATAACATGAGCTGGAAATGTAACTCTGCGGCAGCATGCATATTTAGCATGCATTAGGCCCAAGGTTCAAGCTCCAGAACCAAGACCGGAAGAGTCATATGTATGCAAAAGTTTTCCTAACAGAACACCAGGCTATCAACACTCTATGAGTTTAGACCTTTTAGCCTACATTGCATCAAATTTTAAAAGAAGACAAGTTCACAAAATGACAGAATCTCAGAAAACTGTCTCCACATTTCACTGCAACACACCAACAGTAGAATGTTGTCCCTTTCAGTTCCCACAAAAAAAATCTCTGAGCTCTTGCTACTGGTCTTATTCACATTCCCAAACTATGAGGATGTCGCACACATACATGCACACTGGACCCTTTCCTGGGGGTCACCGGGTCCAGATCTTTTAATGAGGACAGGACAGTGCCTCGCTTTTGACCTGGATTTTCTCTGTGCCATGACCCCTTCATTGCCACATTGCTAGTTCCTTTTCCTTTGTTTTCCACATTTAGTTCTTTAGGGCTAGAGTTTTATGGGAAATGTTTTCCCTTCCAAATTCAATGAACCCCCCCTCTTGTTTTTTTGTTTTGTTTTTTGGTACTGGGGATCGAACTCAGAACCTTGCACTCACCAGGCAGGCACGTAAGCCACTGAGCTATCTCCCTAGCCACTGAACTCCTATTTTAATCCCTCACTTATTGTTCCTTCTTTCTTATGTTTACAGGTCAAAAGATCATTAAACAACTGCATAGGTAAGAAACGGTGAAAGCTAACTAACACTGAGGAGGTCCAAATGTTCATAAAAGAAAACGGCACACAGTACATTGACTGACACCACAAGACAACCCTGGGGTCCCCGGCACTATTGCAGGTTGCCCAACTAGAAAGCTCCCAGGTTCCAGAGATACCAGATGGACAGCAACAGTATGAGGTTTGGTGTTCCACCGCCTCTGCCCAGGCTCTAACTGGAAAATCAGCCTGGAAGGCACATGGAGGAACAAGAGACGGCAGGAAGCCTGATGGTTCAGTCAGACAGAGGAAAAAGACTCATGATGTGTACTGGGAAAGCAAAGGTTCATTTCGGAGTAGTGACAAAAATATACTGGAGAAAAAATTCTCAGCTGAGGGCAAAAAAGTACTTTACCTTCCTATTTTTTTTTTCCAAAGTATTTTTTTAACGGCAAAAAGCTCTATAATTTAATACCTCTCCTATAGCTATTAGACAATTCTTGATTTCCGATACTGCCTAAGAGACATTATGTGGCTAGGTGTCACAGGGAGGTGATTACGACACAGACTTCAAAGGGAGCAATGTTCACAGTGTCCAAGTGGTTTATAACAATCTCAGACTTCTGAAAAACAAAAACATGAGCAGTAGTGAGGTGCTGAGGAGAACAGATGGTACAGTGGTGCCCTGGGCTTCTTTCCCCAGTACAGACACAAGACTAGAAAAGGTGCTATCAAATCGATCTCAGCTTTAGACATATGAATGGTGAAGACTGCTCATCAGTACAAATCAACACACTTAGCTCTTTTGTGCACATTCATTATATTCAGCTGAAGAAATGTTGAATCAGTGATCTCAAAGCTTGGAGAAAGCCCCTTGATTCCTTTAAGCTGTGGTGGAGAAAGTAGAACAACTTCCTCAAAAGCATAGTGTACAACAAAAAAAGCCATCACCCACAGAAGCCACAGCATCCAACAAAACAGCCTTCTATGCCAGCGCCGCCCCCAGGGCCTGCTGAGAGGGCAATTGAGACTGGGCATGGTGGCGTGGCCTGTATTCCCAGCTCTTGGGAGGCTGTAAACAGGAGAATCACTACGAGTCCGATCTAGTAGTGAGACCCTGAACACCCTGTAGACCCTTCTCTAAAAATACAAAAAGAAAAAAAAAAAAAAGCCTTCTAAACAGCTCCCATGTTGGGCATGGTGGCTCTCACCTGTAATCCCAGCACTCAGAGGCTGAGACAGGAGGATCATTGAGAATTCGAGACTAGCCTGGGCTACAACGTGAGCTCAAGATAGCCTGAGCTGTTTAGCCAGACCCTGTCTCAGACAAAAAGAGGGATAGGGGGAGAAACAGCTCTCATTAAATTGCCTAAGCATCAGCTCCAGGAATGCAGCACTTCAGTTCAGGAAAGGCGGAAGGTGAGTGGGTGACACCCAGGCCAGACACAGAGGTTCTGTGTACAATCCCTGCCTTCCCCGCCCTGGCTTCATCCCACACTGGCAGAAATGGCCTGCTGGTATGAAAGCCAATTCTGCTTCCATATTCTAGGGTGCTTACTGACCCAGTGCTCTCACCAACCAGAGCTCCCACATCCTGGACAGGTGTGTGATTTCACAAGAACATAGGTTCAGCCACACTCATTTCCACATCTACATTTCACAGCCTCCTACAAATGCATGTTTCAGAAAACCACGTTCCGGAAGGTGAACATGAGGAAAACTAAACAGAAGAAAGGGGCATTATTTTTATGACTATGAGTTACTACTGCAAATTTTGAAATCAAAACTTTTTGTATCTAAAACATGATTTACGATATAAACAGAAAATTCTAGCATTTTGAAATGTACAGTATGTTATTATCTACAATTTCCCTACTAACAAAGTCTCATTTTTATATAACTGAAACTTAGTTACCATTGGTCATCCTTTCCCTACCCTTCATTTATACAAGGACTGTCCTTTCTCCAAAGCAGGCTCTTAGCACCTTCATGCAAAATCACCTGGCTACAGATATGTGAGTTTACTTCTAGGGTCTCTGTTCTGTCCCACTGGTCTATATGCCTGTCTTTATGTCAATGTCAAGCTGTTTGATTACCATAGCTTTGTACTGCATTTCTACTTTCTTTTCATTGGAAATTGTTTTGGTGATTGTACATAAATTTTACAACTATTATTCTAGTTCTGTGAAGAATGTCACTGGCATCTTAGTAAGTCTTGTTTAGGTATTATGGACATTTGAACAATTCAACCAGGATCTTCCAATTCAGGAAGGTGGGCTGCCTTTCCCTTTCTTCCACTTTTGCTTTCTTTCATCTGTGCTTTTACAGTTTCAGTGTGTAGAACTATTATCTCTTTGGTTTAATTAATTTATTTATTTATTGGTAGCTATTGTAAATGGCATTGCTTTCTGGGTTTCAAGTTCAGATAATTTGCTATTTGCTACTGGTTTCTGTATCTTGCAACTCTGTTAAATTCATTTATTAAGGGCTGGGACATAGCTCAGCAATCTAAGTACCTGCTTGGCAAGCTCAAGGACCAGGGTTTGCTACTCAGTACCACATGCTGTGCCAGCCCTGGAACCTCGGGCGCAATGGCACATACCTGTAATACCAGCTC